TCCACTATGAATCAGCGCCTTCTGAAGTTGCCAGGCTCTGCGCTGGGCTTTTGGTTTGCGGCGGCCCCTTTCGCTTCCAAAACTCGTTACGCAGCTGTCGCAAGTCATCGCGACGAGAGTATCTGAGAAGGCAATGGAAGGCAGAGTAGTGAAGAAACATGAGGAAACATGTATGAACCCCTTGTGTTCATGCAATGATTTTCCATGTTCTGAGGACTTGTCAAGTCCACTGTACATGCCAGAGGATTTGCACAAGCCGGGCAAGCCGTTCGCAACACCTCTCAGTCGCATCTGCGCATCTTGACCAAAACTGAGGCTGAGACATAACTAAGTTCGCCAGCAGAGGGAAAGCAACATTCAGAAAGGCAGCCCAATAGGAGGCGGCAGTCCCAGCGCAAAAAAAAGCCGCTACAGGTTTTCAAACCACCGCTGTTTTTTCAGACCCACAAATCACATCAACCAACAGCAAGATGTAGAGATGTACTTGATTTCTCTCTCTCTCTCTATCTTTCTTTGGCACTAAGACATGTTGCACAAATCTGACTTGTAACCGTATCCAACATGCCAACATCTATTTGAGAAAACTGCACAACCTTGATCAGGCAGCACTCCAAATTGTATCATGTAGCGTTCCAAACAACTGACAACCATCAAAGCATGTGGAGGCCATTCTTCCACAAGCAAACATGAAAAGAATGTATGTACTAACGCAACCGGAGAACCTGTTCTTTTTCAGCCGCTTGTCAGGTCAGCCCTCCTCGCTCTCATCCTCATCCTGCTCTGCGCATTGACAGGGGATCGTCGGCAGCGATCCATTCTCGCAGCGGGCCGCGCCGAAGTCGATTTGAAAGCACACCTCTGCAGCCTCTGCAGCCTCTGCAGGCACATTTGGCACATTAAGAGCTGCCACCACCCACCAAACGCCAAAAGCCACAGCCATCAGCACCAACAGGAAGAGCAGTCTGATGAGCTGGTGGATTGGAAGGCTTTGCAAGAAGGTTAGCTCCGAAAACTGGCTCCTTGGGCTTGGAGTGGCGTAGGCAGTTGTGCCTCGAGTTGTGGGAGACCACCCGTCGTTGCACGCGACTGCTTGGGCTGCTCGTGTCACCCTATGTATCTCGGGTGGTAAAGGGCTGACGTGGAGTTGCGATGCAAGCTCGCAGGCAAAGTGTTGACAGTTGTTGGCAAGGAAGTTGTAGCGGTCTCCTTGCCAACGTTCTTCCTCCATCAGAGCTCCTATAAGGAGTGTGACATCTTCTGGCTTCAAGTCGGTAACACCGAGGAAGAGTCTGTAGTCGAAGACGTGCCTGATGTATGGGTGGCGCCTCGTAGTCGTGGCGCCGAAAGACAATTCTGTTTTGTAGACCTGGGTTGCAAAAACACTCACATCAAACTGGCCCAAGAATTGAAAGTAAGAAAGTGCAAATTGGTGTCGGAATCAGTGATCGGTCTTCTTGATATGCAGGACCATGTTGAAACTGCGCGCATGACTCACGCAAATGGAAAAAAACATGATTGTTTGCCAAGGCGCTGAAATGGCAGTATGATGGATTCCAAGTCCAAGAGGCGACAGAAGCCTGTTGGCTTCTGGCACTGAGCTGCCAGAGCGTACATGATAGACCATCAAAAACACAGCGGCCTGAGCTGCCAGAGCGTACATGATAGACCATCAAAAACACAGCGGCCTGAGCGTCTTGTTTTGGAGATTTTAGACGTGTTGCTTCTTGCGGACAAGCAACTTCATTAGCCTCATCATCCCCGGCCGGACTGCTCATGGTGTTCTGGCGTTTGCGGGAGCAAAATGCAATGCTGGGAACGGTCACCTTTCTGACGGTTTCTGAGGTCTCTGGTGTTGCAAAACGGTAACAATGTATATGTCGCGTGTGTGCTTCTCAGCGAGGTTAGCCGCAACACCAGCTGCAATCTGAACCGGTTGAGCCAATCCTCTTTTTGAATTACTCCCTACGTGAACTTTGCAATCATGATTTCTTTTGGGGATGCTCAATGAAACGACACCAAAGCATTCCCTAGTCATAAATTACACTACACCACAGTACATTACACTGAATGACACTGCACCACAGATAGACAGGTAGACAGACAGACAGACAGATAGATAGATAGATAGATAGACAGCTAGACAGCTAGACAGCTAGACAGATAGCCAGATGAAAGGGAGAGATAGATAGATAGGTAGATAGATAGATAGATAGGCAATTAGATGAAAGAGAGAGCGAGAGAGAGGCCAGCTGGGTAGATGAGATAGATAGATAGATGGCTACACAGATAGAAAGATAGATAGATAGATAGATCGATAGATACATAGATCGATACATGGAGAGATAGATAGATACATACAGAGATAGAGATAGATAGATAGATAGCTAGCTAGCTAGATAGATAGACAGACAGGCAGACAGATAGATACCTAGATAGATGGACAGACAAATAGATAGAGAGACAGCTAAATAAAAAGATAGATGGATGGATGGATAGATAG